CAAAGGACACGTCTCAATGAGCAGCCTCAAAGGTGCAAAATTTTGAGGTGTTTTAATTTTGAGGTGCTGAAATTCCATCGGACAGTTGTGCCTGACTTGAGCGCTAATTTTTCAGTGTGATCAGTTTTGCCACCGTTGCATTCGGTGATAAGTTCCCGACAGCCGATGACCCCGTGCTATTGGTCGGAATGATCTGCCATGTGGTGGTTTGGGGTATGATTTTGATGACCACAATGTTCTCAGTTGTGGGTGTCTACCTGCACCACTGAGGTTAATCAGTGAACAATACGATTTGATTAATACAATAAAATCAAAAAATACGTTGATTTATTAGTGCATTTCAACGCAAAATTAACAAAAAGAACTGGTTAACTTTCATTTATTTCTATTATTATTAGTAACTTTATCATTATGTAAAGTAGTAGTACACTAATATCATCATTACTTTGCAATAAATCAAAGGCATAAACTCATACGAAGAATATCATTATACGAAGGAATGACAAAGATAAAAATAATAATAACAATAATAGCAGCTGTAATAAACTGATGACGACGATGTTAATGTTGAAGTTATTGAGTGGTTGATTTTGGCGTTTTGGGTATTTTTCTAGCTCTAAGACCGGACTGATGGCATTGCATAATTTGATCCCACTTCGCTAAGCACACTACAAGATCTTTACGTAATGACTTAAAGCCCCATAGCTGACGTGGATTCGCCTGAAATGAATCATAAAATTATGATTACTTACTTGATAGCAAAGTGAATAATTTACACCAACCTGTGGTTTACACATCTGCAGACACTGATTGCCGATATCGTTCACACCCATATCCTTACAACACTGCGTATTGTCGTGTGTTTGTGCGGCGCAGTGAACAATTGAACTCAGATACTTGTAGAGACGACAACGTGACGGTTGAATGGTGTGCATCAACTGAATTTTTGCTCTCTTTTAACACTGTTAACCACCAAATTGCATTGATTATTGATCAAAAGCACTTACAACTACACGAGCCTCAATGGGATTGTTCTCGTAAATACATAGACCTCGGCATTCTGGCGGTATAAAACGATCACAACACGAACCAAACACTTGATCTGCGATCTTACGTTCTATGCACGGCTTCCATTCGGTTGCTGCATTACCACAATCCTTTAACAAATCTAACACATATCCTCTAGTAATGTCAATCACCTCAGAAGTAAAGCATCCGATCGAAATTTGCTGACTGTCCCGGCGGGCTCGATTTCCGCTTATCAGGGAAAGTTTCTGGGGTCATTGACTTTCTATGGTGCATATTGAATAACATCGGATATGATTTATCAAAACGATAAAACTATGACAATTTGAAATTTGCAAAAAAAACGAGTAAAGCGTGAAAAATTCAAGTTAAATCAAATAAAGGTTTGCAGAACCGTTGGATTTTCGAAATCATTGATTTCATTTGTTGAGAGTGCAATCGAGAGACTTGTGAAGAGTAGTGTGATGATAAGCTTTATCATTTCCATCATTCTTGACAATTTGATTGCAACAACAACACGCTACAATGAGCAGTTGTTAAACTTTTAAAGAGTTGCATGTACTCATCGATTAGCATATTTGTTTACAAGTGAGGTAGATGCTTGTTTGGCAAAGTCGACAAAGATCAGTACGAGATAAACATAAAGATCACATCAAACAGTAGATTTTTTCCCGATCATCCAACAACAATCCATACTGGATATGGATTGTTGGGATTATTCACACTCACACTTTCCATTCAACGGATAATAAATCACTTATCCAATATACAACTGGCAATAATCATCTATATGCGCGCAAGAAAAGCACACACTGATTGGAATGAATTGAATTAGACTATATGAATTAAATCAAATGCATAATGCAAGTCCAGTCCGACTGAACAAGAAGACGAAGGCATACTACAACATGTGCTGCATTATGTAATTGAACGAACTGAAGTGATCAACAAAAACTTGAATTTAAGAATTGTTGTAATCGTCATTACCTACATTCCATTGTAACGTTGTCGTTGTCGTTTCTGCACTCTTTCATCTCTTCGCAAATTATTTCATTTCAAATGTGCATCATGTATTGTACGTTTCAAAATATATACCTAAATATATACACATACATAGATGCATACAAACCGGTCTGAACGAAAAATGATTGTTTCTGAACGATTCTTCATAATTTACATTATGTTAAAAATATACACTCGTGTTAAAATCATCCGTAATACGTAAAATAAATAGCCATCCTTCCATACAATGTCAACTTTGATACACACTACAATAAAGTATTTATTCTGCTCAACTTCGGCATCGTTATCGACTCAACAATGTCGGCGAAAATAGATAGCGTCGATAATAATAACAAGAAAAGCAATAATATTAGTGACTGCAATTATTTTAGCAAAAGTGCAAAGCAAAATTCGCTATAAAAATTTGTTAAGAAGCGTCGAAAGTGAACAGTTAAGAAATAAATGATCTGATGAAATTCATTCGAAACTTGAATTGACGACAATCAAAATGAAATTTAGTGTAAACGCACAATATAGTGATTAATTTAACACAATTTTTTAAACTGTTTCATAAGTTATATATGTCACCTCTACGATTCTTTCAACATCACAATATTAACTCCTTTATTTTGCTTCTAAAGAAGCCAAAAAATTTTTCAAATTTCAAAATTTTACACCACAGGTAACTACCTATTGTTTCTTTTTTCCGAAGACAATATCCCGCATTTTTTGTGAGACCCAAAAATTTTCGCCCTCCGTCCACAATTCAGTTTCGTATATGTATCACTGGATACGGCATTACTGTGTATACGATGCCTCGAATCCTTATACAAACTCGTCCTATTAACAAGTCCAGTCATGTGATGCGATGAAGCCATTGAAATCTAAGCGGTATTGCCTATGTAAGGTTACTCAAGTCCAATTATGAAGTGTGAAATTAACTTAGCTCAAACTCAAACACACATTCCAACCGAAAGTTGAGATGATGTGAAGATTACGTAGGATCCCCACGTGAAGTCAAATAGGTTGACTGATTAATTTTAATAGTCACTCACCAGACTGAGTGCCCTGAAAGATATTAATTGCTTCCCTCCATCTCTCAGCAACGATACGATTGAGGCCGTTGCGGCCG